GGTTGAAGCTGCCCCGCACCTCCCAGCCCACTTTGTTCACAGAGCTGGAAAGAGCTACAGGGGTGGGGGACCCAGCTCCATGGCTGGTCGAGCCCTCAGAGAACAAGGGGAGCCCAAATCCCTCCTGGCGCACAGACTCTAGGCAGAGCTGGCCCAAGCTACAGGCTGACCGGGCTAGCGCCCGGGGTGCCCCGTTGTAGGGGGCACCGTGAGGGGCTGCCGGAGGGGGTGGGGGCGGGGTTGCTCCTGTCTACACACAGCCCCCAGCTCCCTCGGCCACACACAGCCCTTAGCTACCCTCTCCCTGCCCCTGAGCCACCCCGTGGCCACACGCAGTCGCTAACAGCTCCCTCTGATGGGGTAAACACAAACATTATTGAGTTTTCTTCTGAACCATGGGCTACGCAGTGGGGATTTCTGTATCAATGATCGAGAAGCCTCGTCCTAGTGAAAAGCGTGTAGGGCTTTGCACAGAGAGTGCCAGTACAAATTCTGGTGGCACTAAACGGGCTGGGAAAAACAACGTATGGTGAAAATGGCAAGTCAAACTAGGGGAAGGCTCTTTGGGTTTTGTTTGTGGTGCTCACATCGTTCATAACTGCTGCAAACAGCAGCGGACTGTCTTCCAATTGTTTTGAGTGCTTTGCTGTGCAAGTGTATAAGCACTTCCATATTTACACCATGCTGAAGAATTGAAAGACTTCTGCCAATTTGTCGACATTGAGGATTTTACATTGCTAAGGTAAGGCAGGGTACGATTCCCTCCTCTGGGATCAGCATTAGACAGCATGGCGTTGATTTTTGATGGGCACAAGGCTTATTTTCTCACTCTAGACTCATGCCCAACACTGTTCAAGAAAGTCTTCGGTGACCCTTGCACAAAACTGGGCCTTGCTTTGGCTAGTGAGCAACAGCCACCTTTCCGAAGACGGTAGAGACAATCAAGAAAAACGACTCTTCGGTGACAGAAGTGGCATTGCATGTTCATCCCCTTCAAAATAATTCAACGTGAGGCTCAGAGAAAGAGTTGTGACATCGAAGACTCTGCTGTAGGCTTTGGTGGAGGGTGAGGAAATTAAGGAACAGGAATTGTACAAGGCAGTCGAGAATTTTTATTCAACATCTCTGAAGCACTTTGAACACTGGAAACCTGCCTTTGAGTGCACAGACAACATAAGTGGTTCTTGTTGAGAAGGATGCTGATGTGGTTTTGCCTTTGCCACACAAGAATTCCCACCCTAGATGAAATGAGAATAGATGGGAACCAATTTTTTGACAAAGGGACAAACACAAACCCAATAATATCCTGTCACGTGTCCGACCGGAACACTCAGGAAACCCCCATTTCTGAAAGGCAGTGGAACATTTTTGAAGAGATGGACAATAGGGCAGCAGAATACTCAGATCTGGCAAAAGCCGGTGAGTTTATTTCTTGTTTGCCGAGCACCGCAGCCCCCTGGAATGTATCATTTCGGTAATTAATGCCGTTTGGTCATCTAAAAAAAAATCACATCTGTGTTTCTCCCATGAAGGTTGTTTTGTTTGTGTGAGTGAATTTTGCCCTCCACGGTGCTACATTATCCTGGATCCCCGGCGCTCCCCATGCAGCAGAAGCCCCCAAACCCATGGAGAGAGCTGAGGGGGGCTGGGGATGTTGCTCCCCCAACACAAACTTCGGTGGAAGTGCAGGACGGGAAGCTGTAGCAGGGCAGGGCAGAGCAGCTGCTCCTCTGGCTGGGGCCATGGCTTAGAAAGCCGGGCTGTTCCCTCCTCTCCTGCCACTGCTGCTGGTGCCGGGGTTGAAGCTGCCCCGCACCTCCCAGCCCACTTTGTTCACAGAGCTGGAAAGAGCTACAGGGGTGGGGGACCCAGCTCCATGGCTGGTCGAGCCCTCAGAGAACAAGGGGAGCCCAAATCCCTCCTGGCGCACAGACTCTAGGCAGAGCCGGCCCAAGCTACAGGCTGACCGGGCTAGCGCCCGGGGTGCCCCGTTGTAGGGGGCACCGTGAGGGGCTGCCGGACTGGGTGGGGGCGGGGTTGCGTATGCGCTGGGAGCCCAGGGGCGGCGCTGCGCTCCCGGGGCCCGGGGCGCACGAATGGCTCAGGCCGGCCCTGACTCTAAGTATATGCGCTGGGAGCCCAGGGGCGGCGCTGCGCTCCCGGGGCGCACGAATGGCTCAGGCCGGCCCTGACTCTAAGTATCCATTCTGTGAATCCTGAGGTATTCTCCTGTCTACACACAGCCCCCAGCTCCCTCGGCCACACACAGCCCTTAGCTACCCTCTCCCTGCCCCTGAGCAACCCCGTGGCCACACGCAGTCGCTAACAGCTCCCTCTGATGGGGTAAACACAAACATTATTGAGTTTTCTTCTGAACCATGGGCTACGCAGTGGGGATTTCTGTATCAATGATTGAGAAGCCTCGTCCTAGTGAAAAGCGTGTAGGGCTTTGCACAGAGAGTGCCAGTACAAATTCTGGTGGCACTAAACGGGCTGGGAAAAACAACGTATGGTGAAAATGGCAAGTCAAACTAGGGGAAGGCTCTTTGGGTTTTGTTTGTGGTGCTCACATCGTTCATAACTGCTGCAAACAGCAGCGGACTGTCTTCCAATTGTTTTGAGTGCTTTGCTGTGCAAGTGTATAAGCACTTCCATATTTACACCATGCTGAAGAATTGAAAGACTTCTGCCAATTTGTCGACATTGAGGATTTTACATTGCTAAGGTAAGGCAGGGTACGATTCCCTCCTCTGGGATCAGCATTAGACAGCATGGCGTTGATTTTTGATGGGCACAAGGCTTATTTTCTCACTCTAGACTCATGCCCAACACTGTTCAAGAAAGTCTTCGGTGACCCTTGCACAAAACTGGGCCTTGCTTTGGCTAGTGAGCAACAGCCACCTTTCCGAAGACGGTAGAGACAATCAAGAAAAACGACTCTTCGGTGACAGAAGTGGCATTGCATGTTCATCCCCTTCAAAATAATTCAACGTGAGGCTCAGAGAAAGAGTTGTGACATCGAAGACTCTGCTGTAGGCTTTGGTGGAGGGTGAGGAAATTAAGGAACAGGAATTGTACAAGGCAGTCGAGAATTTTTATTCAACATCTCTGAAGCACTTTGAACACTGGAAACCTGCCTTTGAGTGCACAGACAACATAAGTGGTTCTTGTTGAGAAGGATGCTGATGTGGTTTTGCCTTTGCCACACAAGAATTCCCACCCTAGATGAAATGAGAATAGATGGGAACCAATTTTTTGACAAAGGGACAAACACAAACCCAATAATATCCTGTCACGTGTCCGACCGGAACACTCAGGAAACCCCCATTTCTGAAAGGCGGTGGAACATTTTTGAAGAGATGGACAATAGGGCAGCAGAATACTCAGATCTGGCAAAAGCCGGTGAGTTTAGTTCTTGTTTGCCGAGCACCGCAGCCCCCTGGAATGTATCATTTCGGTAATTAATGCCGTTTGGTCATCTAAAAAAAAATCACATCTGTGTTTCTCCCATGAAGGTTGTTTTGTTTGTGTGAGTGAATTTTGCCCTCCACGGTGCTACATTTTATTATAAGTTGCTAAAAAGCAAGTGAATCCTTGGAAAAATTGCTTCATGTGACAAATACAGTCCACAAGAAGCGTCTCACTGAGGAGGACAGCAACATGAGGACACGGCAGGTGCTTCTAAACAGCAGTAACCACTTACTTGGAAATATCTATTTTCAATGTTTTACCCATCTTTCTGTACTAGAGGATTTACCCAGTGCTCCTCAGGTCCCTGTGGGGATCAGGGTAGGAAGTGGGGAATGTAGCATTCAGAGCAGGGGGCGGGGAGGTGTGGGGGGGATTCAGGGG